AAAAAAAAAGAATTAGTCAGACAATGGAAATTTCGACCGTTTATTTATGTGTTTTTCGTGTGTTTTATATATATATATTTTTAACAATCAATGGCACTTCTATTAGTAACAAATCCCTTACAAATCTGAAAATATCTTGAAAAGTGAAGTGTTAATAATGTGTTTTGCCCTGTATTCTTATTTATTTATGACTTTTTACCTAGAATATTTTTATATATATAAATTCTGCCCTGGCACTATATTCCTCTAATTTTTTTGTTTTTTTTAATCTAATTTTGTTAATCATGTGACGTGTGTTAAAAATATGTGCATTAATTGTTTAGATCATTATTTGAAAAATAAAATTACATAAAAAACAATTAAATTTGAATTAAAAAAAACTAAGCCATTGAAAATTTATCATAATTCCTTTTAAAATAACATCATTTTAACAAAAAATATTCAAAATTAAAATTATTAAATCTAAGTTTGGGTTAATAGTTAAACCTGGTTTTTGATTGATATAGCCAAATTTTGTTTTGTTATTCTTTTTTCAACCCCAACCAATACAGATCCCTACGTTGGTTCAAGTTTTCCATCCATGATTGTCAATGGCACCACCCAATTTAGTGTTTGATACAGAACCAAACCCAACAATTTAAAGAAACAATATTCTAAAGATGGGACAAATAAGCACACTAAAATTTAAAATGAAGCCGGTCAAAGCTTCACATTGTCAAAAAATATTATTTAAAAGGCTCAATTAGTATTATTATCTCTTTTTTTTTTTTTTACAAAAAAAAATTGATGCAAATCTCATAATTATGTGGTCATGCAACCCATACATAAAAACATCAATTTTTAAAAAATCAAGTAAATTAAGTTTGATAGAAATATGACATAAAAATAATTTGTATCTAGACACCAGCATTATTGGAAACCTGAATTTCGATTGACCTGAAATTTTAACCCAAGATAATATAAGATGTCAAAAAATTCCACTTCGATCCAACGATTAAATTAAAAATTATAACTGTTGTTGTAAAATTGAATAATTACACATTTTATATTAAAATTTAAATTCAACCTTGCCTGTATCCTATCATAAATTCAAACCGCACCTTCGTAACAAAAATAAAATAAAATTATTCGATAGAACATACACAACATGCATTGAAATTAAGCTCAGATTGCAATGGACGGGGAAATTGCGAAATCTAGATCCCATAGCTCGAAAGTTCCCTTGACAAAATCGTAGTGGGCACCCTTCAGCGATACAGCACCGTTGACCACGGCCTCTCTCACAAAGGGATATGTCAACAGATTTCCCAGCGATACATTGACAGCCTCCTGCACCAGCTCAGTGATGAGAGGTATTTATTGGAACCATGCATGATCCTTAATGTCCATAATTAATTTAACTGAAACCTAATTAATTATGGATCTTGTAGTTTTAAGGCTAATTAATAATTAGTATGGAACATGGTAGGTCTAACTTGCCTTCTCGCAGCTGTGGCATTGCTCTTCGAAACTTAAACCTTCGCCTTTTGCTGCCACCTTGGTCTTGGCAGCTGAGCAGATCTTCACCCAATTTTCTATGAAGTCCCTTTTTTATATCAACCAGAGAGCCAAAAAGAAAAAAAAAAAAGCAGAAGAGGAATATTATTTTTATTATTATTATCCATAATCAGTGAGATAGTAACATGCTGGAGATCGCCTGGTTAACTTCTGACAGATTGGCAAGCCAAAATATTGGGAGTGTTTTCTTCACTTTGACTGGCATGCATGTATTTAAATCATTAAGTCAACTCGTAAGCAATCAAACGAAAGAACATGTGTTAATGCTGATGGTATATATATATATATATATATGATCAAGATGCTGACGTACGTAGAAGAGGACCCGTCGTCTGGGAAAGACATGAGGCCCTTGATACCACCACAGCAGCTGTGACCGATGACTACAATATTCTCCACCTGAACTTCAAGAGAAAACATGAGAAAAGGAAATAGTTTTTTCATAATCCAATTTTATTTTTCAATCAGGAATCGACCCCTGCATCTGTTTCAATAGCTATGGTACCACCAGCTAAGAATGGGATAAAAAAAAGTGATTAGGTGAGGCAGTGTCAATTATAAATGGAACAACAACTATATAATATAATGATCGTATTAGTATTTTAGTATTGCAAAGCAAGGACGGCATATTGACCTTCAAATGTAACACAGCATATTCAATGGCAGACCCCGCGCCGGAATATTTTGTCTGCGGGAGAAAACAGAAGCCAGACAAAGGTGTTCAGTGGACGATAAAAAAACAACTAACGGAACCAGCATATTCAGTGTTTTAACAATTATACTATCATGGTTGATCACTGATTAACGACGTTAGAGTAGATAGACCCAGTCTTCGATGCTAATTAAAGGGATTAAAATAGCTTGTCATTAGGAGAGGTTAATATAAATTGTAGGTGTTAAGCAAACCTGGTCATAAGGCGGGACCATGTTGGCGATGTTTCGGACCATAAAGGCCTCCCCTGGCTGGAAATTGAGGATATGGGAAGGGCAAACTCGAGAATCAGAGCAAGCGAACACCAAAAACTGCATTATAGTAGTTGAATTAAGATCGTCTTTTTTTTTAGAGTAGTTTTTCATTTTAAAATATTTTTAAATAATTTTTTAATTTTTTTTTTATTTTTTATATCAGAATATCCAAACCATCAAAAAATATTAATTTAAGAAACCATAAAAAAAAAATCAAATACATTCTTATCATACACCATATCAACATCGTATGGTTGCAAACCACCCATCAGGATTAGCTAGGTTAATAAAATGAAGACAAATAACGTTGGACAAAAAAAAAACTCTAAGCATAGGTGCATACAAGGTGGGTTAGGTAATGCTGAGCTGGATTACGAAATTATGCACATTACTAGTAATATTTTCTATTAATAGAATATTGGAAATTTTAATTCTAAAATAAAAAAGTATATAATAGTAGTTTTTTTTAAAAAATAATAATAAGAAGACCACTAACCTTAGGGCTCTGGCCTTTAGCAAGGGCACCGTACAATTTTGGATCCTTGCTGCAGAAGATGCATGTTCATGTGATTATGAGCCAAATGGTGCCACTACCCTTCTAAGAAGCTTCCTAAACTTTAAAGGCAAACAATAATATGTGAAAAACATACATTTTCAGGCTTTGTAAAATAACATAGTATTTATTTTATATTTGAGTGTATGATAATAATTATTTTATAAAATATTTTTATTTAAAAATATATTAGAATAATATTTTTTTAAATTATTTTTAATATTAAAATAATATAAAAAATAAAAAAATTAAATTCAAATAAAAAATATTTGAAATTTCATAAAACACGGTTGGATGATACTCCCATTTGGGACCTTAACTACTTATTGTATCCTACTTAGAAGAATTTTGATCAATAATTTAAAAATAAAATCAAAATGGTCAAGTTTTTAATAAGATTATAAAGTGAATTAGATTACTATCAAGGTTTTTTTTTTTTTCAATCCTAATAGAACCTTGGAACAGATTGATCGAACAGTCAAGTTAAACCAAGTTTAACGGCAGTAACAGTTAGATAACCGTAAATTAGGTGTTTTGGGAGGGGATCATGGGAGGGAGACAATAATTATCAATGGGACAAGCACAAGAAGAGGGCAAGTTGATGGTGCTTTAGCAGCCGTATGGAGTGCTTATAAATAAATATTATCCGAACCAAAGGGAAAGGCTAAAATGAAACGTACTCATATTTCTCCGTCTTGAAGTGGAAGAACCCGGTTCTAATACGTTCGGCCGGGTCAAACTCCTTCGAACCGGCCGCCTCCAGCTCGGCCGCTACCTGCTTGATTTTTGAGGCGGCGACACTCCCGAGGTCAGCTCGTTCACTGTTGCCGAGGTAAGCTCGAAAGGACGAGAACAGTCAGTTAAATCCATTCATTGGGCCCCATGAAAGAGGAATTTACCTATTGCTATAATTAGTAGCTATGGCAACTTAAGAAAAATACAGGTACATGAATCAATGTCAAATATGAAAGGATTTTATAAGCAAGCGAGGAACGAAAAAAAGACAGAAAATCATTAGTATTCTAAGTAAATCTCAAGTTTGTTTGTTCTGAATTTAATGTAGAAAACTCATGATCAGTAGGGTATACCTGAGAAGCTTGCTTAGTCCTGCAATGGCATCCTTGTATGAATCGTTTCCCATGTCTTCTTCCTTCTGCTAATAAAGAAAGAGGGAAAGAAACCAGAAGATTTATACTATCCATTTGAATTAGTTTATTTTTAGTGCACAGAGCTGGATCGAATCCATAACGAAAAACCAAATAAATAACTAGCAATTAATTAGATCATTATCAGTAACAAACCCATCTACCCTAAAATTCTTCTGGAATCATTTCCTTTCATTGCCAGAAACCATGCCATGCAGACTATATTTACATATATCAAGAAAGAAAGCAGAAATATCTATGATCAGAAGTCAGAACAACATCACAGACAAAAGAGATGAAGATTAAAGAGATAATAGCTGTTAATTATAAGCCAGGCTGATTAATGACCTAGTGAAAAAATAAATTTTAGAAAATAAATAAAAGGAACAAAATCTGCAACAGTTTCTAATTTCACAAAATGATGAATCAGAATCCAACGAAGCATCTAACCTTTCCCTCTAAGATTCTTCCGCTGCTTTGTGTGTGAGAATTAGCAACTGGTCACAGTGTTCACACAACCGGCTCGCCTCTCTAGCTGCTCCATATATAGAGAGAGACTGCTACTTTAGGTTTTTCTCGACCATTATTACAATTTTTTTGCTCATTTTTAAAGATTTTTTGACAATATAACAAACAAACAAATAAATAACATTAAGTGGATAAATTAAATTTACCAATGGAATATCCAAAAGACGATAAAATGGAAAGTTGTTATAAATGGAAGGTTTGACTGTTTCAAGGATTCTTTATTAGGCTTTCACATCCACCATGGAACGCTTTATTATCTTATGCTAATAAATCCAAAAACTTTATATATATATAAAACAAATTCTGGTTTCTTATAAGAGGCAAGATGCAGAGCGTCGTGGAATTTGAAGAGATAAGGTAGGGGATTTTTGTGACCGACTCTCACGAGGGAAAATGAATGATGCTAGTAATGATAATAGATACATGCGGGTTTGATTTTTTAATATTTATGTTCTATTCATTATATTTATTTGGATAAGAAATTTAGAGGGTATTTGGATGTGAATTTCAACTTGTTTTTAATTAAAAATTGAATTTTTTATTATTTTAAATTATTTTTTAATGTTTTTGGATTGTTTTTACCTGCTAATATTAAAAATATTTTTTAAAATAAAAATATTTTTTTAATATTTTTTGGAATAAAAAATATTTTAAAAAACAACTATTACCATATCCTTAAATACTATCTTAAATATTTATAAACTATTCATCAAAACTTTATGGGTATATAATGAGTGATAACCGATAATTATCTATTATTATTTATTAATTAATAAAAAATAACATTATATCAGGTGTTTTTTTTATAACTATGCTAAATTCATCCGTGCTTTCTGCAACTTGGTGCCAGCCACCAATGTACAATCCTCGTCGATTTCTATAAGAGATGGCACGGCAGTCTCCATAAAGAAATCTTTAAGATAAATCAAATGCATATATATTCACTGGACATATGTAATTGATAAAAGAAATTAAAAAAAAGTAGAATAATATTAACTTCAATATATTACTGGAATATGTTCGATCTTTTTTATCACAAAATAAACAACAAAAACATGCAGTCATATTAACTTCTGTTGGAGGCCTTTTACAAGTAAAATAAAGTTAGAGGTAGTGTGTGTGTTTGTGTGTGGAGGAATGGAAGGGGGCGCGGAACTAACACTTAGAAATTCACTAATCAAGGAAAATGTTTAAGAAGTAAATTTTCATCAACAGTTTATTTACGTATTAAAATATTAATTTTAATTTCTTTATTAAACACTAACCCTCGTTCAAATTAAACTTTTAAAATTCTTTTTTTAATGCAATATATTAAAAACATCTATAAAATGAAGAATACATTTAACAATCTTAAATTAGATATCTATTGTTGAAAAGAAAAAAAACTAAATAAGAAGTAAATTTTCATCAACAGTTTATTTACGTATTAAAATATTAATTTTAATTTCTTTATTAAACACTAACCCTCGTTCAAATTAAACTTTTAAAATTCTTTTTTTAATGCAATATATTAAAAACATCTATAAAATGAAGAATACATTTAACAATCTTAAATTAGATATCTATGGTTGAAAAGAAAAAAAACTAAATAATTTCTTACCACTTGACTACCACCTAGATGGTTAACTAAATAATTCTTTGGGAGTGTGGTTGTGGTTATTTTTTAAAGTGTTTTTCATGATGAAATGCATCATATTAATATTTTTTATTTTTTTAAAATTAACACATTAAAACAATTCAAAATATATTAAAAAATTAATTTTTAACAAAAAAATAATTTTTTTGCAAACCACGATCCCAAATGTTTAGTAAAAATGCCCCGAACCAAGAAACAAAAAACTATTGTAGCTCCACATCCATGTCTATTGATTTTTTTCACTTGAGTAATGTAATGGTATTTTTACCTTTTCTTCTAAAAATCTTTGCACTAGCTTTCAAGAACATTAAGATCTTTTTATAAGGATTATTTGTTACTTTTAAATTGATTGGAAACAAATAAATATTTTTTTATCTTCATTGCACAATAAAATGATTAGAATATCTTTGTAAGAAAATTAAATTTAATGTTAATGAGTATTTTTGTATTTTCATTGTGACAATTTAAGCTGAGAGAAAGTTTGGTATTTAATCAAATATAATAAACAATTAAAATGTATAGTAAAACTATGAAAATATATTTACAATCAAGAAATTTAATTAGAGTGTTTTTATTTTTTTACAATGTTTTTTTTTAAATTAGAAAGTCATATTAGAGGAACTTTTGTATTTAGCTAGATAAAAACAAAAAAGAATGTATGTGTGCGGCACACCTAAAGGTGGATGATAGGCACCCAAGGTCCTTTGGTAACGCGTGCAGCGTCTTTATCTATTCAAAAATATCCTTTCATCATGTCTTTAAAATCACCATTATATTTTTGGAAGTGCCATAGTATCTTCTTCCTTTCAATATGATGCATGTCTTTGGTTATGGTCTGGTTTGTCGTCGATGGGCCTTCATTTCTTTTTTTTTTTTTTTTCATCTCATGAAAATTAAAATTTGTTCTTTTTGGTTGTCGGGATTTTAACTTTAATATTTATTCTTTTCTCAATTTTTATACTAATCATTTTGTAGAAATTTTATTGTTCTCCATTTCATCATTGAATCCCAATTAACAAAATATTATATTCTCCAATTTCATCCTTATTTTTTAATGCACTTTTAAGTACTAATCAGTATTCTGTAAAAGTTTTATTGGTTTTTAATTGTATCATTTAATTCAAATTTATAGTATTATGTTTTCTAATATGGTCTTTATTGTTTTAATTTCTATTTTTTTCTTGATTCTTTTGTAAAAGTTAATATTATTTTTAATTCCGCTCTTTAATTACAATATTGTTTTTATTTTTATGTTAATTTTAAGTCTCATTTTTCTAATATTGTTTGCTTCTTTTACAAAATTGATTTGATTTTCAATCTCACCCTTCAATTAAATATAAAATTTATTTTTTATTTTAATTTTGATTCTCATTCTTTTAATAAATATTTTTTAAAATTCCTTTGTATAATTAAAACTCTTTTTTTCAATTTCATTATAACATCCCCATTTAAATTCCAAGTTCATAAACAAAATCTCACGTTTAAGAGAATTAAGAACATAAGAATTTTTATTTATTTATTCACCAATATTTTTATATTTCTACTAGAATTTTAGTAGAATCTCATTTGTACTTTGAACATTTCAATTATCAATAACCATTCAATTTCACACCATCATCAATTAAAATATATCACGTTCAATATGGGTCCAATCATCATGGACCTTCCACAGTCTATAATCCATAATAAATCCATTAATCTCACCCTTCAATTAAATATAAAATTTATTTTAATTTTAATTTTGACCTCATTCTTCTAATTAATATTTTTTTTAAATTCTTTTGTATAATTAGAACTCTTTTTTCCAATTTCATTGTAACATCCCCATTTAAATTCCAAGATGATAAACAAAATCTCACATTTATGAGAATTAAAAACAAAAGAATTTTTATTTATTTATTAATCAATATTTTTATATTTCTATCAAAATTTTAGTAGAATCTCATTTGTACTTTAAACATTTTAATTATGAATAACCATTTAATTTCACACCATCATCAATTAAAATATACAATATTCAATGGTCCAATCATCTTGGACCTTTCACAGTTTATAATCCATAATAAATCCATTAATTTCTCTATACTAAATTTTTATTTAATGTTCCATAACTCCAAGTCTATTTAAGTTAAACATTCATCAATCCTTTAATGTTATAATGCATGCATAATAACAAGAGAATAAATAAACCAACTAATAATTAGACTAAACAAACTTAATACACCCAACTTGTTAATAACATAGAAAAACAAATAACATTACAAAGTATATTCCTTGAATCCTAATAAATAAGCATTTAACTAATAATTAACTAACTATTACTTAGCAAATTAAACATATACTTTTAATTACACACTATATTCATTTAAGTATTATTTATAAAATATTAACCTAGATTAAATGACTTAATCCTCTCCGTGCATCATTACTACACAAAATACTTATAATAAAATGCATATAAAAGAGAATTCATGCATAGTTGAACATCAATCATGACAAAGCTAAAAAGAACCTAAAAATTTAAATATTTTCATGTTCATTAATACAAAACTATATTTATTCACAATTTATGTACTTTATTTAATAATAATATTCACATACACATATATACATTTTTCATATATTAGCATTCCTTGTTTCATATATTAGCACTCCTAAATTTAGCAAAAACTCAATCCACCTAGTATTATTATTTTTCTTTTTACCACCAATAAAATTGATAATTATTCTTGAATATTTCTGAATTTGACAAACATAATTTGAAGGCCAATCAATTAGGTATTTTCTTTTGAATGCTAATTAAATCAATTATCCATTCTTGGATATTTTTAATTTTGGCATTCTCAATTTAAAAGTCAATTAATTTGGTATTCACTTTTGAATATCTATAAAATAAAATATTCATTCTCAGATATTTCTAATTTTAACATTTCTAATTTGAAAGCTAATTAATATGGTATTCACTTTTGAATGCCCATAAAAATAAATATTTATTTTTAAATATTTTTAATTTTTGCATTCCTAATTTAAAAGCCAATTAATCTAGTATTCACTTTTGAATACTTATAAAATTAAATACACATTCTCAGATATTTTTAAATTCGTTTAGGTTTCTAAATTCATTTAGGTTTCTTATTCATTGATTCCTTTCTTATCACACTCTTAATTATCTACTTAAAATTAAATCTCCATGTAATTACCTATCTTAATATTTGACAGAAAAACATATGATTAATCCAATTAAGATAAATTGTTCACCTACCTGCATCTACCTATTGCACCACAATTCCCATCATTTGCGACCCTCTAACAACCTCTCTATTATGTCATCAAATCAATTTTATTTTATAATTATATATCATTCTTTTTTTAATGAAATTTCCCTCTTCATTACTCTTTTCTCTATTTTATCATTTTTATTCTCTTCACCAAATTACATTATCTAAATAATCTATTTTCCAAACAATTATATCATAGCTC